AAGCCTATGACCTTGGTTACAAACCAATGACTGGAGTAAGGTGGAAGGGTAAAGCAATAGTCACAACAGGCCAGCTTGAAGAGATGAGGGTGAACAAAAGGAAAAACTTATCTTCTTCCCAACCTAAGAAAACATGGAAATAGTGCTAACATGTTGGTAGTTTATGACACTATGTGAAGGTGGTTATTTTTTTGGTATTTGATAAGATGTTAATAGTTGGGTTGGCAAACAAACTTAAGAAGTTTAAGATGGTTGTTTTTGTGAAGTTATGAACTTATGTTGATGTAAGTCTTTTGGTACATGAACTTATGATGCATTTGTTTTATATGAAGAAATGTTTCATTTTATCAATTTCTGTTTGATTTCAATAACATGTTTACCAATTCAATAACTGAAACAACTTAACCATAAACATACCAAATATCATCCAAGAAAATCAAATTTTTCATCACAAAAGACTTCAACTAGAAAAATACAACAACTACTATGGCAATTGATCATGACAAGTCTTTAAGTCTTCAACTTGTCATTAACCAATTGATCCATATAACAAAACACATTAACAGAAACATTATGAAAAATCCTAATGAAGTTAGAGTAGTTGGTCCCTTTCTTCTTCACTTCCATCGACTTCTCTGCTGCATTTTTATCAACTCTTCACAATCATGGAAATCAAAATCTTCTTCCTTGTCCTTCTTTTTCTTCACACTTAGGGCAGATTCGCCTTCAAGGTCCATCACAATTGAATTTTCCATCATCTCGACAATTTCACTATCATTGTGATGAGCCATTTCTTTCATCTTCTTCATTATTTTTTCCTTCGACATTAATTGTTTGTCTATTTCCTTAATTTTCTTCACCAATTTCTGATTTACTCTTTCTTTTTGCGAAGTAAATTGCACACTGATTTATGTTTTATTTTATACTGCAGATAGCTTTTTTCTTGTGGATGTCGACCTGATTCGCTTCATTAAAAGGTATCACTCTTTTTCTCCCCCTCCCTTACCCCCACAGTAGCTTTTTTTTCTCCACAAAATTGTGTTGGTTTAATTTTTCTGTTTATAATTTTGGTTGGATAAGTTTTTCTAGTAATAAATAATATTAGTTTACTAGGGATGGAAATGGGAAGGTCAAGAGCAGGGCAGGGCAGGGTAAAGGTTTAACGGGGCAAGGCGGGGCAATACTTAACGGGGTAGCGCGGGGTAGGGCAAGGCAGGGAGGGACATACCTAATATTTTAAAACAATTAATAGGGCAGGGCAAAGGCGGGTTCATGAGAGGCTCCTTAGTTGGAGCACTCCGTAGCTTGCCAACAGTACTCAGATTGATCTGCCCGAAAGAAAGATTTACAAAAGAACAACACACACTCCACATTGTAGATGATCTTGTTTTCTTAGCGTAAAGATTAAGAAATTCGAGCTGACTTTAACTATGAGTCTATGACTAAGTCATGCTAAATGTTAGGCAACTCATCCAAGATATACCATATTAAAATCAATTACATGAATGGGTAAGGACAATATATCTGAATAGGCTGCAAAGATAGAGCTTATTACTCTTAAGTATTGCTTAAGATATGGTCTGGCTTGCAGACAGACAAAGGGAAAGAATCAATATGACTTTGTAAAAGACTGATGGTTTAGTTCACCTATAGAGTGGAAATATGTTATCAATATACTGTCCACGATCCTTATGCTCTAGAAGGTTTCCTGCACGTAATGCTACAATAATAGCTACCTTCTAAAACATGCTCGAGTTTCATATATAAGTCTTTTAGAAATGATGTTGATTCCAATGGAATCAATTGGAAAAGTGACTTAAACGATACAAGAGATGGTTATTTTGGAGAATTCAAGGTATAACTTTTAGTAATAAGTGAGTTTAGAAAGTGTATTCACAATTATAGATATGATATAAATGTATTACTTTTAAATTTTATTTTCTATTGGGATGTTTCCAATAGTGAAAGTGAAGTAAAGAGACACTGGTTGGCTAAGGTGGCAATAAACTACAGGAACTTCATTTCAAAAATAAAAGGAGAAGGAATTAGGCCAGGTTATGTACCTGAGCATGTGTGGGAAAGATGGATGGAACTTTGGGGAAGTGTTGAGTGTATTAAGAAGTCATAAATAAATACAAAGAACTGTCGTGCCGGCCATGAAACTGCGGCTGGGACTCACACGGGCGGCTCTATTTCAATGGGAGAATATCACAAAAAACTTGTAAGTACATATTCCATGAACTATATAAGTAAAAATTTTACTTTCTTTACGCTTGTATCTAAACATATTACGCAACAAATTTAATTATATCTATAAAGTGATTTTATTTTGTATATGCTATTGAAAAGGGTCGAGATCCAACACCAGGGGAGTTACATTTGCACGTCCATACACATGGTCATGATGAAAAATCTTTTGTTGATGAGTGTTCTCGAATTGTCCATGTAAGTCCAAAATCTTTAAAATAGGGAACTTGGCTGAAAATGGAAAGACACAGTTAGATGCCCTTTCCTTAGCTATATAAGTTTTATAATGGCTATTATTTATTGGTTGTTGGTTGCTGGTTGTTGGTATGACTATGACTGTTGTACAATTGATTTCTCTATAAAGTCTTCATGTCTCAAAGAATTTATGCCTGCTTGTATCACTCAATTTCTTATTCTGTAATGAGGCTGCATAAATTCAATTGTTGCTCATGTGTAAGCTGTGGACTTCTCAACACTATTGTATTTACTGCTGTCACACCTGAATATGCAGTATCCATAAAGCTTCTTAGCAAAAAGAGAATGTCCACTCAAGATTTTAAACACTAATTCTAGTGAGTGTCTATAAGCTAGGATGTCATCAATGAGTAAGAATATCAACCTGCTAAACAATGAAAAAAAACTAATGACTCTCTACCCACTACCAAGTGCAACTCACTTGACTTTCAATCGGGTTCTTATTTTCTATTCATTTTCTTATGGACATTGAGACATGAGAAACTGATGGTGATGATCAAGATTTTTGCATAGTTTATTGCTCCATTGATGATTGATGTTTATCACCTAATGTAGATATAATGGTATTGGTCAGAAAGAGTAAAAACTGAAACTAAACAGTGCATAGAATCAGAGACACATGAGAAGGAAGATTTGGGCATAAAAGTTTAAGGACATTTGAGTATTAGCTGTATCAATCAATCCATTAAACCTGCTAGTTACCGAAATATTTGCAATAAGACTCTCAATTTGATTTCTTCCTCAATTTAAACTTGATGTGTTAGCTGAACAGGATACACATTCTACATCTATCTTTCCTGCTTGATCGTCAGCTTGTATTTTGGCCTCCAATTCTGTATATGGGGGTTTCCTTTCTTGTTTAGCATTCTCTTCTTGACCATCTTTCTGTGTAATTTGGGGATTTTAGGATCGAAAATTCATGTGAATTGCAACCAAAATCACTTAAAAAGATGATGATCAAAAGGGATAAGAAACTCAAGAAAGTGACGGATTTTGCTAAACGAAAGAAAAGGGTGTTTTCGCGGGAGTTTGAGGAGATTGTTCTTTCTTGTCTTAAAGAGAATCCAGACGACAGGCCAACTGCTAAGGAGCTTTTAAAAACTCCATTCTTTAGTGAAATTGAAAGGTTTAAGCAATTTGTGTTGAATACTAATAATTGAGCAGTGAAAGAACAAAACATAAAATATTGATATCTATAGTGTGTATTACTTTTGTTTAGGTATGAAATGAGCTATTTTCTTAGTTGGGATCATATGGTTCATATACATGAAATGGAACTTCTGCGGATCTGTCGTTTATTTCGATGAAATGTTGGTATGTTCGTATGAAGTTGACTCTTTGGATAATGCATCTGTTTATGAACACTAAATGAATTCTGGTTCTCCAAATTGGGTTGCTGATCCATTTCTTGACAGTAGGCAGGGCAAACACATTCCTATTAGGATCTTGCACTTTATAGATGATTTGTTCTTCGACTGTCTAGCTGTTGCCATAGTTAGCAACTAAGTGCCCTCATGATTTCTAATATGCTCACTTGATCCAATTGAAAAGTATATTAGATCCCATAGTTTGTTAAATTTCATAGCTTGAAATTTGAAGGCCCAATTTGTACATTAATGCTAATGCTTAAAAGGTTATGCATGGTTTTGTATTTGCCTTCAAAATATATTTTATTCCCAATGTTTAATGCTTTCATTTTTCCTCTACTTAATACAGGAAAAATATGAAGAAATATTGCGGAAAAAAATAGTATCTCAAGCTGATATTGATCAATGTGAAGCATTTTATCAAGCTGTGGGGAGAAAAGAAGAGAAGAATATACGGTCTTGGTTCTGAAGCAAAAAGTTACTACGGGTAGAAACTTTCTGCCTCATCGTCAGTACTTCCTTCAATTTCTCAATCAACACCAATAACAAATATGGATGAACTTGTAAAGAAAATGCTTCCTGCACTTACTATCACTTTCTTCCCGTTGTTATGGGGAGGGTACAAGAAGGGAGTACTCCCATTGACAACCCATCAACAATGACACCCTTAGTGCCTCCTTCAGCTACTACTAATGAGGACGAGGTTGATCCTTAATTAGTTTCACGTGACAATCGTATCCCTTTTTGTTATATTGTGTGCTTTTTTGGAAAGTACAAATTTTGCAGTAACAATATTTGATAAATGTAGGTTCTTTTAAGAACAATTGATATATTGCTTTGGATGTTTTGAATCGAAAATATGGGATTTTGATATTCTATATATTTTGAACCATCTATGATATTATTTTATATGGTTATTATTTTTAGGGTATTTAGCAATATAATTTGAATTATATCAGCAGTATATTGAAAACAAAATAAATCAAATTTACAAGAAAAAATTTAGCAACAAATATGGCGACGGACCAGCGACGAACTTGTTTGCGCCAAATGTGCTGGCTCAAACGACGGAATATGTTGCGACGGATTAGCGATGAAAAATATGTCACGAATTTATTAAAAATGCCGAAATGAATTGTGAAATTAGCAACGATTTTATAAATATAATGACGGATTAGTCCGTCGCTAAATTTATGACGGAACACATTTTTCGTCACTAAGAGATTATCAACAAGCGATATAGTAACAGTCAATAATCCGTCGCTAATCCTGTCTAGCGACGGAATATCATAGATTAGCGACGGATTTCGTCCGTCAGTAAAAGCTGATTCTTTTGTAGTGCCATCCCTCCATCGAAAGAAATTACACTTTCTTGCACCATAATATGGGCAAGACCAAAACCTTCTTCCGGGGTTGTTGTCGGACCAAGAAGTCTTCAAAGGGAGCAACAGACCATGACTGCATCGCAACTCTGAAATCAACATCGGATCTTCATTATTTGTACAAATCTTGTTCAAATCCAATTTTACCTCTTACATAGCTAACCCTACTTTTTATACAGAAAAATCGGACAATAAATTAGAAGCCCTAAACACGAATATAAACAATATTTAATAAAATCAAAGCTTACCTCTTCAAAGATGAGCTTTCAAAGTGGGCAATGTGTCTTTAATGGAGGTTTTTGATGAAGAACAACGACTACATTGTAATATTTAATGAAAAAAAAAGTCATAAGTTAATTGCTACGTGGCGAATAAATATAGGTTACAGTAATTTTAAGACCATCATCATGCGCCTCTTGTATGTTTGAGTGACTTGCGGGACTGACTAAGCAAATAATACCCATAAAAATATACTAAAACTAAGTCTATGACCCCCGCAAAGTTCATATGTGTAGCAACAATTTTGCCCATAATTTGGGTGTGTTTGAACCCTTTTCCCTAAATTTAAATAGTTTTAACTTTAATTTTTTTTAATTCATAAAAATCATCAACTGAAACTCTGAATATTTAAAACATGATATTTTACTTTGGATCTATGCCCTTTTTAGAAAATAAATAAATGAAAGAAATTGTTATATTTGTTAACATTCACATGTTATAAGTATTTTCTTATTTGCATATTTATATATTATTATTTTTTTGATAACCGAGAAATCCGTCTGTGACCGCCCTTTGAACCAATCACAGCCTTTTAAACTCGGTGGATAATGGGCCCACTCCTCTACCCTTCTTATTTGCATATATACATTTCTTATATTTCCTTTTTAAAATTTAAGTAGCTTTAACTTCATTTTCTTAAAAAATCATAAAGAGAATCAACTCAAAATATGATACTTTACTTTTGATTTATGACCTTTTTTAGAAAATAAATAAATAAGGCGCACCCAAAGGGTAGCGGTTGCGGGTTTCCCTTGTCATCAAAAAAATAAAAAATAAAAAATTGTCATATATGTTAGTATTTATCAGTTATATGTAGAAAATAAATAAAAGTGTCATATCTATCAATACTTACATAAATTATTTTTACTTATAACAATCTGCAAACTTTTTTTTTTTTTCTTTTTTAGTGTAAGTAACTTTATCTTTATTATTTTTTAAAAAATCATAAATAAGATCAACTCAAAACATGAATATTCAAAGCATGATATTTTATTCATGAATTATGATTTATTTTATAAAATAAATAAATAAATGACGGATTAGATTAATCAAACATGATATTGTCACATTAGATTTTTAATTTTAAAACACTTTAATTATTAGTAGTCCATCATTGATTATGAAGTTGACAAATAAATCAGTATATTAAATAGTCAAAGATTATTTTTTTTTATAAATTTGTTGAGTAGATTATATAATTAATGATGAATTAAAATAGATTTTAAATTTTCCAACACTTTAATTATGAAGCTGCATTTGAATTTTCAAATTTGCAACACTTTAATTGTTTGAGAGTTAAATAAGTGAATGATGTCATAAAGTTAAATAAGTGAATGATGTCATAACATCCTTCCATATTTTACTTTTACTCTCTCGTCCCCCTTTTACTTGTTCAATTTTAATTTTTTACTTGTCATTTTTGACAAATTAAGAAAAAAAATAGTTTTTTTTACCTATTATAACTTAATTTATTTAGAGAGTTAATGTTTTTGAAAACGGTAAAACCTCTTTAATGAGTAAATTGATTTTGGAATTCTATCAATTAATAAAAGTAAATTGGTAAATTTAATATGTCAATTATTATTTTCTTAATATGTGTGTCAAGTCAAAATTGGATAAGTAAATAGGAATAGTGGGAGTACTATATAGAAAAGGCTATGGAAGCAATTGTTTGTCAGCATGCTTGCTTCCCTAGCCAGGGGTAACATGGACAATTTTTAATATCTTCTTAATGTTATGCTTAAATTATTATTGTACTTGATTGTTTTATAATTGTACTTTCTTAATATAGGACATAAAAGTCCTACATTCTGCTTTTCAGCCGTAAAATTTGATAATGGCACTAATGTTGTTGGATCCAGAGTCATGAATCCATCAACAGGTCTTGGCTGCCAAATGCAGTCTCAGCAAGGAGGACAAATGCTCTATGATGCAACTAATAACAAATGACCATATTTCAATGAAGAACAATACAAGCACCTTGTAAATCTGCTTAACAAAGATGGAGATGAGCAACATGCTAACATAAAGGTACAATTACTTGCCTAATGTCAGCAGTTACTTGTAGAGAGTGGATTATAGAATTTGGAGCAGCACATCATATATCATCCAGCTTAAACCTACTAGAACAAGGTAGGCAGGTATATAACTCTAGCAAAAACAAGGTATATTTACTTACAGAAGACAAGGAAAATGTGACACGTGTTGGTGCAACAACTATACTGAAGGAAGTACTAGTTATCAATGTTCTTTATGTACCTGAGTTTAAGTTCAATCTCTTGGTAGTGTCGAAATTAAGCAAGGAACTATCTTGCTCTGTCAATTTTTCCCTAATTTTTGTATATTTCACGACCTTCACAGTAGCAGAGTGAGGGGGGGTATTGGTAGAGAGGAAGATGGTTTGTATAAACTAAAGGTAAATAAAGTTAGCTAGAATGAGAAAGAGGCAATAAGTGCAACATCTACTTATGGAAATGGAGAAGCATACAAGCTGTGGCACATGAGATTGGGTCATCCATCACAAGCCATCATGAAGGACATATCACCTGTAAAATACCATGATAGTAGTTCTATACATGATAAATGTTCCATTTTCCCTATTGCTAAGCAAACTAGATTGAAGCTTCCTACTGGTAATTCAAGAAGTGTATTTCCTTTTGAACTTGTACACATGGATCTTTGGGGTTCCTATAAAATTCCTACTCTTTATAAGAAGCATTATTTTCTAACTATTGTTGATGATTATACTAGATTCACTTGGTTATATTTGTTACCGTTAAAGTCTGAAGTAATTGTGGTATTGCAACCGTTCTTTAACATGGTCAAAAATCAGTTTGGAGTCATAGTTAAAACATTAAGGTCAGATAATGACACTAAGTTTTTCAACTCTCAGTTCACCAATCTCCTACAATAGCTTGGTATTGTTCATCAAAGTAGTTGTGTCTATACCCCTCAACAAAATAGTGTTGTTGAGAGGAAACACATACACATTTTAGACATAGCCAGGGAAATCAGGCATATAATCAAACATCTTAGTTGCATAAAAATTGCACCGATGCCATAATTTTTTCATCAATTTGAAGACCACTCTTTGCTTTGGGCACAGTCAATAAAAGAAGAAATCCATTAGTTAGAAAATATAGAAGGCAATATGGTCCATGAAGAGTTCAGCAAAAAACACCTATAAGGACATTACTCTTGGAGATTGTATGACTTTCTAAGTGTCTTAAAGTTGTGGTTTACTGATTTTAATATAACTTGATGAACATATGGTCATCACATCTACTGTGTCGTAATTGTCCGCAAGAACTTGAAAGTTAAGTTTTCTGAGGTACAATTATATGCAAATATATCAATAAAAAGAAACTAATTAGAGATGTCTAATCAATATAAAGACTAAAATTTAAAACATAACTTGTCTCATTATATTAACCTTCAAATAGTAAAGTATCAGCATTTTCATTCCACAATGTTGTGTCATTTACCAAAGTCAAGAACACAAGGTTGTAACTGATTGCTAGGGAAAAACTCATGTAGTTTGTAATCACTTTCAGCTGGCGGAAGAGAATATATTTTCAAAGCTACTCATCTAAGTAAGGCTAACTTAGAAATTTAATTCAAAAAGAAAATGTATTCTCTTCATATATTGTTTGTCCTTCCTTGACAGCTTTTTTTGTTTCACTTTAATCAATTGAGAATTCCTGAAATCTAGTCCTTTAATGAATTTTGAAGTTTAATTAAATAATACAAACAACATACACAACAACTACTTCGATGTTGTAGTTCATAGATGAGAAAATATAGTACAAATCAACATAAATATACAACTTAATGGGGTTCAATTTATGTTTTTAGAAAAAGAAATCAAGAAGCCAAAAGATTGAAAATATAAAAATACTACTTACTGTCCATAGGCATTCAGAGCATAGCATCTATAATTCCTACAGTGAAACCAGCAATAAATCTTTCTAAATGATCAGTAAATTCGAGCAAATGCTCTTCGTATTTTTTCATAAGAACAGAATTTGATAGCCTTAAATAGAGCAGCGCATAGAATACGACAAAATTCATTTTTCAAAATTTGTTCATGCCTTAGACTCATTATCAGTAAATTTGAGTAGGTGCTCCTTGTATTTTTCATAAGAAAAGAAATTGGTAGCCTTAATGGACTCACCACTTTCCTCCACCCCGGTGAAATCTTCCCTTCTTTGAAGGACCCTAGTACTGTCAAGGGAGACGTCTAACCTCCAACATATCTGTGAACTTTTTCCTCTTATCTCACATCAAGTAAAGCAATATCATAGAACATTATCAGAAAACACCCCTCTTAAATTCCCCATTACTACATCAACAGGAAATGACAACTCTAAGTTCAAACCACAATAATATATTTGAACTCCGGTTTCTAAATTCGAGAATACAGATCCTATTGATATATGACATTAAATATTTTTCTCTAAATGACATATAAAATACTTATTGTAAGAAAGGAAAAAGTTCAAAGCATATCCCTAAATATTACCCGGCACAACAATATCTCCTAAAATATACCTGAAGATCTCACAATAAGTAATCTACATTATACCCAGTTGAATTTTGAGGTCTTCATTGGTGTGTGATCGAAATTTCTGGTTACCTCTTATAATCAAATTCAAGACTGCAAAATTGAGAATAGGACTAACACAGGAATTATGTACATGCAACATACTTATAACCACATACCCACAAAACAGCAAAATGAAAAGCAATATCAAAACAATCTAACATACAATCTACAAAATAGGATCTAAAACCAAAAAAAGACTTACGAAGTCCAGTAGATTTCACCGCTCATTGAAGAAGATGATGAGAAAGTGAGAGGAAAAAATGAGAGCGGAAAAAGCAAAGTGAAAGAGGGAAAAGGGCAGAAAGATGGAGAGAGAAAAGTGAAGGTTGAAATACACTGGTTAAACAAATAAATCATCAAAATTTTAAAAGTGCTTACACGTAGTTCTAGCAGTTGTCAGTACAATTAATGTTTCTTTTAGTACAATACTACAATGCAGAGTTTGTCATTTCTTGAATTGAAATGGGCCCAATACAAAGTACAACTTGCATTGAATCAGGTACAATTAGTCACTGCTGTGTTGGTCCTCTCTTGTTGGCTTATAAATAAGAAAATAAGATAAGATAAGAAATAAGAAAATAAGAAGAATAAGAAGAAGAGAATATATATATATATATATATAGATTCTTGTTTGACTCTCAACTAAATTTCCTTCCTTATTAATCCACTTCAAAAATCTTCATCATTCCATTTTAATAGTAAATTCTTTCAAACCTCATTCTTCTCCCTCCCCAATTAGTCCACCCCCCTCATATACCCCCCCACCCTCTCTCCAATCACCCATTTTCCTAATCAATCATCAACTTCCTTATGTAAAAACCAAAACCAAAGAAGCCCCACAAAAGTAAAACCACCATTTCTCCAACAACAACATCCAATTAACAATCATTTCAAGAAACCATTAGATTCCCATAAATAAAGGGCCTAAAGTTTCCATATTATCCAACTCCTTCATTTCTTCCCCTTTTTTTCCCTTCATTTCTTCTTTTCTCCATTTCCATAACCCAAAAAATCAAATCTTTAACACAATGGGTGGAAAAAAGAAGGAATTTTCCAAACCCTAACACTTCAAGAAACTAATTTTACCTTGAAAACAAGAGATACCCAAATTGGGGTATGCTCAAAATTTCAAGATTTTTCAAGAATAATGTCCTCAATGAAGCACATTGACAATATTCCATCAACCCCAGGAAAGTTTAAGGAAAAATCCAGTTACAATAGGCTTAGGCTCCATTTTTCTATAGCCAAGCTTACATTTTGGTCATTTGTGTTCTTGGGTTTGATCTTTGTATGCTTTTTTAGATCACCATCTTCATCTTCATCCCCTGCATCTTCAGATCTCTCAAGAAGATCTCTTAGAACAAGCTCTTATGATGGTCCAGCTTGGGAGAAAAGGATTAAGGCCTCAGCAAAAATCAGGTCAAGAAATGGTATTTCTGTTTTGGTTACTGGTGCTGCTGGTTTTGTAGGTACACATGTTTCATCTGCATTGAAACGTCGCGGTGATGGTGTGGTGGGGTTAGATAATTTCAATGATTATTATGATCCGTCTTTGAAAAGAGCCCGGCAAACTCTGTTAGAGGGTGCCGGGGTCTACATTGTAGAGGGTGACATCAATGATGTCACCCTCTTAAAGAAATTATTCGATGTTGTTCAATTTAATCATGTTATGCATTTGGCTGCACAAGCTGGTGTTAGATATGCAATGGAAAATCCTAGCTCATATGTGCATAGTAACATTGCTGGTTTAGTTAATCTTCTTGAATTTTGCAAAAATGCTAATCCTCAACCTTCTATTGTATGGGCATCATCAAGTTCTGTATATGGATTGAATACAAAGGTTCCGTTTTCTGAGTCTGATAGGACAGATCAACCAGCTAGTCTATATGCTGCAACTAAGAAAGCTGGTGAAGAAATTGCTCATACATATAATCATATATATGGACTTTCACTTACTGGATTGCGATTTTTCACTGTTTATGGACCATGGGGTAGGCCAGATATGGCGTATTTCTTCTTCACGAGGGATATTTTGAAGGGGAAGTCTATATCGATCTTTGAGGGAGCTAATCATGGGACTGTTGCTAGAGACTTTACCTACATTGATGACATAGTAAAGGGTTGTTTGGGAGCGTTGGACACGGCTGAAAAGAGCACGGGAAGTGGTGGGAAAAAGAAAGGCCCTGCTCAATTGCGCGTGTTCAATTTGGGAAACACATCTCCTGTGCCTGTTTCGGATCTTGTTACCATTTTGGAAAGGTTACTAAAGGTGAAGGCTAAACGAGCGTTGATGAAGTTGCCAAGGAACGGTGATGTTCAGTTTACTCATGCTAATATAAGCTTTGCACAAAGGGAACTTGGATATAAGCCTACAACATATTTGCAGACAGGGCTTAAGAAATTCGTTCGATGGTACCTTAGTTACTATGTTGATGGAAAGAAGAGCGCGCAGTGATCATACATTCTTTCAATTCTTGGTTCATTTACATTCTTGTTATTGTTATTGCCACCATTTTCTTCATTTCATTATATTCTAATGATGCGCAATACAAGGAGCATATATACGATTGAGGCTGTGTGATTGATTGACATTGTAATTTTTCAGGCAATTTAATTTTGTATCAAATGCAACCTGAAACCAACTTTTACCATACCATTGTTGTAGTTTTGCAGAGCTCATGATTGATAGACAATTGCTTATTATGGACATGTATTATCTTTATTAAATTATAGTAATAAAAATAGCATATGATAGTTCCATATTTGAACTCTCTGTGTATAACCATAACCAGAAGAGGTGAAATCCCTACACAAATAATCGGGCGGATTTCTTCTTTACTATTTCTAGCCAATATACATAATTTATACTCTATTCCTATCTTGTTTATGTATTATGATATGCTCATTCGGTAAGAATTAAGATGGCATAAGAATTGGTTTTTTTTTATATAGTTTTCATAACTTGCGGGATTTTCATGTTTTCGATTAAAAAAATACAATTTGCAAATCTAACTTCAACTTCAACTTCGAATCAATCTAATTTTTAAATTATGAATTCATATCGTCGAAATTAGCCCAAAATCTAAACTTTCCTTTCCAAAAAGGACATAAAGGTTTACAATATCCTTTATTCTTGTAATTTATTCCCCTTTACACGGCCATAGTTGGTGATTTCTCTAAAAGTTGTCCAATCCAGAATTCCCTTTTCTTTTCTTCTTCTTTTTAATTCTTTTGGGATACATAATGGTCTCGTGACGGAGCGTTAGTTAAAGTCTAAGTCCATGACACATGAGATTCCTATTATGCTTTGGCAGTTATTCCTTACTTATATCAGAAGAATTGTTCTTATCTATACTTGTATATGTAGTCACCATGAAATTAAGAAAATACGACTAGTAAATTAAGCATAATGAATCATCCATCATTTCTTCCCAAGTAAATTACTCCATCCCATTTTTCGTATAAGTTATACGACTGGTAGCTAATAAGGAAATATATTATCCATGTATAAAATTAATGACTTTTAATTTGCAATTTGAAAACCCACATAACTAATAGTTCTCAACGTATGCAAGAAGTGCTAGGTTAATTCTTCTCATCTACCTACATATTCTATTAAATAATCAGATTTACCTAAATATTCGATGAAATAACTAAGATAGCCACAAGCTAAACCAAACATTATTTAAAAATAACAGTAAATGATTGCAACGGCTGGATTGTCACACTTGGACTACTCTAGTATAAACAGTTAAGAGTTACTAATTAAACAGGCCTAATATCACCAGCAATGTGTCCTATACCCACATTTGAAATACGACTAAATCTGAATTCACGCTGAAAAGTCCCACATTAGGGGCTAAAGCACTCCCTAGCAAAAGTTACTCCGCATCCATGGATACAATTGCAGTGAATTGAACGAAATCCCACATGTAGGCAACAACTGTTCATAAGTTGCTCGATCAAGCTTAATAACCTATAAATAGTATGCCTGAGATTGCCATTTTTTCTGTTTCTGTAACTGCAATATGAATCATTAAAGCTCAATTGGACTTGTCAAGGAAGGAAAATAAAAAGTTTACAAGGAACTAAACCAATAAGCTGGCACAGGTCCACAGACCAGAGCGGCGAGTATAACCATTATCCAGCATTTCTAGCTTTACCGAGAATTTCGCAACATGATAATTAAAACATAGCTAAACCAAAAGAAGTATACCACAGATAACAAAGTCTCAATGTCAAAATCTCAAACAAGAAACTAAAAGGAGGCCCTATCATCTCCTCGAGTACATAATTTTGTTTACGATTTCAAGTATCCTGGACATGCCAAAACAGCTTAATATAGAATATCTAAGATATGACTTGGCGAAGAAAGTAGCAATCTGAATGCTCCCGTTGTCTTCTCTCATGCCACAAGAGTACTGGCAGTGGTAGATTCACTGCAACGAAAAAAAAACTGAAATCAGTAAAGCAAATCACAAATCACAAATTATGAGAGAAGATCCGGAAGGAGGGTTACCAAAAAAACAGAGTATTGACCGACACATAATTATATATGTGAACACAAACAGCTGCACCAACTTCAGTAAATATCTGACTCACAGGACAGGAAAGAATGAACACTGTTTTTTCTAATTTCTTCTAAAATGGGCACCCTAAGTTTCACCAGAACATGCCTAATGTGATTGCTCCCCTCCCTATAAAGGTCTTGTCATTAGACAGTATGGACTCATTCAGATGGATCTAAAGCGCTTGTAAGCCGCAAGAACCTCAAAGATACGAGGCCACTACATATACTGATGAGAGTTAGCAGGTACCTCACAAAATTAGTCAAGGTGCACCCAAGCTATCTTCTCATACACCACGTCATAAAGAAAAATATCAGATATGAGGCAACTAGGTTGAAGGTTGGCAAGAAAATGAAGATTGCCATAAAATTATTGTGTGTACTTCCCATCAATAGTGGAAAGATGAATATATACTTTTGTCAAACTCAAGCAACAAAGAGAAGTGTGGGTGCCTCGGTATGTATATAATGTAGCAACTATAAACAACCCATATGAGGACAACCAGTCCTTTGAAACCAAATACTTCATATCAAGTTTCACAATGGTTCCCCAGAACCACACAAATAGTCTCTAACAGGAAATCGAATATGTATTACACTATATTGCAAAGAGAATAATCAATGCAGTGGCTGAATCACATTCTCCAACTGAAATAAACCTTTTCACCAAATTATGAGAGAATTCTCAGCATGCTTAGATAAAGAAGTTAATTCGTAGAGAATTGACCATAT